CAACAACATATTCATTGTAAGCGTCCTTTATAAAAAGCCACAAAAAGGTTCTTAACATTTTGATGCTTTTGTGGTTTTCAAACTGTCAACCCATGTAAGGAAAAGCATGGGATTTATGGCTAGTCCCAGAACTGTTTTTAAATCACAGCGTGTTGGTTTTCAATTTAATAATGACTTGTTAAATCTCTACTATGCTAGACATAGGAGCCCTGGTGGTACAGTGGTTAAAGTGCTCAGCTGTCAACCAAAATATGGATGGTTCTAACCCACCACCCACTCCATGAGAGAATGCTATGGCAGTCTGCTTCGATAAAGATTTACAGCCTTGGAAACCCTAAGGGGCAGTTCTACTCCGCTTATCGAGTGGCTATGAGTTGGAATTGACTTGAAAGCGGTGGGTTGGGTTTTTTTGGTATACTAGACATGGAGATGAATAAATAATTCCATGTCTCCCTGGACCTCAAATGAGAGACACACAAACAAATCCAGTGGAGCGTGGTCAGAGCCGCCGTATTTGGAGGTGTGAAAAGAGCTCGAGGAGCACAATGCGTCTGCTGGGAAAGAGAGGCAGGCATGGCTCATGCCACAGCCTTCCACACTGTTGCCAAAGGATCTTTCTAGAATTCATAAATGCAGCCATCTCACTTCCATATTTAAGCTCCTTAGTCATTCCCTACTGACTGCTCCTGCTCCTGAGACCCCAGTCCCCATTCAGCTGCTCTCCTTCCTTCCTTCCTTTCGGCTCCTTCCTTGTACAGACTGTCATGTAACTGTATTTTTAAACAAATAACATGCACCTTCTACATTTGTTTGACAACCACTCTGTTCACAGGGAGGTATTTTCATAATTGCAGCTGTGCCAATGGGTAGTCTTTGGCAAGTTATTCACCTCTCTGTGGCTCAAATCAAGGTCCCCTGTCCTTCCTTGAGTTAATCGCAGTTAGTCATATAGTTCTGTTCTGTAATGTTGTGAGAATTAAATGATGTAAATCAAGCTCTTATCAAGGTACCTAGCACACAGGAGCTATGGAAGTGAGGGTTACTCTGCTTGCTGTTGCTCACTCCCCGCCCTCCCAGATGGGAGTTGCCTTCTCTACTTCCCTGTCTTTGCATAAAGCACCATTGCATTTACACTCAATACTAGGCGGCTTAATCCTTCTCTCACTATTTCATATCTTTATCATCAACAAATGGCGTCATTCCAGAGTTGCTGTTGCCCTTACTAAATTCTGAATTCTGAGCTTAGGGACTTGTGGTAGTTATGTTTGCCTGTCAACTTGGCTGGGCCTGGTTGAGTGGCTGGGCAGCTGGTGGTAGTTATTCCTCGTAATGAGACTGGCAATCAACTCCATGGTGGGATTTACCACAAGCAGCTGAGTAGTTGCCTTTGAGATATGGTCTGCTTTCTGTATATAAGGAGAAAGAAGCCTTGGGAATGGTCTCTAGCCTATGGCATGCTTGAACCCTGCATGTAGCTGTGCTCTGCCGACCTTGGGACTTACAATGGACTTAAGTTAATGGGCTACCGCGTGGTTTGGTAACATCGGGACTGTTCCTTTTGACTTGTCAACCTTGGGGCTTCTCAGCCTCAGCAGCCAGCAGCTGTCTGAGTGAAGAAAAGCCTCTAGCTCCAGTGGGCTGGGAGCTGGAGGCAGAGCTGGACCCCAAGGTTGAGGGGCTTTCACCCAGCCCCTGAAGCCTGGCACTGTGAACTTGGACTTGAAGCATCCAGATTTTAAGAATAAACTCCTGCTTGTTAAGGCCATCCCATTTGTGGTATATTCCTGTCAGAGTGGCACTAGGTAAACATAACAGGATTTCACCGTAAAATCTTTTTTTGTTGTTGTGTTTTGTTTTTGTATTTCCCCTCAAAATTTGATATAGTGCATATTGCAGACACGCAGAGATTTGGTTATTCATTGAGGGAGAAATCTCTTTTTCTCCAAATCTCTCTTTAGTAAATGTTCCATCTTTGTTTCTCTGTAAAGCCTTTGTAACCATCTCTTCTTTTTCTCCTCTCCACTGTGCTGTTTGCATGTTGCCTTTTTTTGTTGCCATTGTTACTTGTTTCTTTTGATGCTTCTTCTGTGTTGCTGGCCTCCAGCACAGGAACTGTGCCAAGAGACCCTCATGTTTGAGTGAATGATAGAGGAAGAACAATATACATTTCTTCAATGTCAGAGTCTTTGAGGGAATTGGTGAGGAGAAAAATCAGGCAGTTTCTTTACATTTATTTCTTTTGGCTCCACTAAATGTCCAAGAAAAATCTAATAATGTGGGCACTCTGACTAAACAAGCAGGAGGTCTCAAATAAGTATTCTTTTAACTTAGAGGCAAGATAGTCCATCAGCTGATTTTATTCATGTCTCCTAGCTTCATGGTTTCTAATGTAAATTTTTTTTTTATAGTTTCAAAGAAAATACCAAAATATGACAAATAACTAAAATTGTTACAGAGATAAGAAACAGGTAGTTGCTTTTGACATTTACCACCTCAGGAAGAAAATTCAAACAGAATTGAGTTTCACAGTTCTGAAAATTGTGGAATAGAAATTTTCTACTAAAAATTATTTTGATTCCGTGTTTTGTAGTGGACTAGAGCTCTGGTGGCATAGTGCGTGCCTAAGGCATTTGACTGCTAACCAGAACGCTGGCAGTTCAAACCCACCAGCCAGTCCTCAGAAGACTGGGAATCTACTTCTGTAGAGATACCACCTCAGAAACCCAAGGAGGGGTGGCTCTGAGTCGGAACCGACTCGATGGCAGTGAGTTTGGTTTTTTTGTTTTGAGCAGATATTCTAAAGTTCATCTTTTAATAGATATGATTATAGATGAGAAGCAACTGCTTCTGTTGTCATACTTTCGTTTCAGTTTCACGCTGTGCATTATCTTATAAGATGCTGCTGCTGCTGTTAGTTGCCGTAGAGTCAGCTCTGGCTCATGGTGATCCCATGTATGCGTGGTAGATGTGCTCCACAGGGTTTCAGGGCTGGACCTTTCAGAAGCAGTTGCCAGGCCTGTTTTCCGAGACACCTCTGGGTGAGTTCAAACCATCAACCTTTCAGCTAGTTGAGCATCTAACCATTTGTGCCATCCAGGGCACCTTATAAAAGTAATATCATAATACTCAAAAATAGTAACATCATTTAGCGGTGATGAGGTAATTAAAAAAATCAAAACAAACAAATGAAAAAGCTCAGTTTGCCTCTTCCGCTGGGTAACAAGAAGGTAAAGAGCTTCATATACCTGTATATTGTAAACCAGTGGTTACCATTTAATACTTTTTTACCACCACATCTTTACATAGCTTTCTTTAAGATGAAACTTATTTGTAGCCAACTCTTGGAAACTTATTTGTAACATGAGAATTGTTAACATATTCTGTTTCATATTTATTCAAAATAGTTAAGTTATTGGTAACACACCTTCATGATTGAGTTTCTTAGAAGAGTGAGGTAATAAGGATTTTTAAATCACTGTATTTCAGGTCTTCTGGTTAGTAGTCAAATGCCTTAGGCAGTGTGCCACCAGAGGTCCTTATATTTCAGAATAAATAAAGTTCTCTTACTGTGATTTTTCATTTGAAGGTAAAAGATTAACTCTGGTACCTGCGCTAAAACTTTTGGGTCTTTTTACAAGTATGTTATGTCAGTTTCAGGTTTCCACTTTTGACTTCATCTCCATTCCAAGATTCCAAAATGTATAATAGAGACAGGAGGGGTGTATGAGTGGGACATAGCTCTTCACCTGGTCGGTCTCCTGACCCATAGTTCATCCTGCCTCCATTCCCCTTTGCATTTTCTTTGTTCCAGCCAAAGGAGGCTGCTCATCTAAGGTCTTCCATGGGCTTCCCTCCTGAGTCTCTTTTTATGTTGCCCATCCTTCCTGCTAGAAGGCAGCTCTGCTCTCTCCTCTCTCTTCCCCTCACTGCCTGGCAGTATCCCATCATCATTCTTTCCTAACCACCCCAACCAGGGACACTTTCTCCCTCCTCCTTCCTTTAAACAGCGATAGCACTTTGCAACTGCTTCCTAGAGCCTACCAAATAGGAGTCAGGGATGCTGGTATGTTTGTTTACCTTCTCCCATGAAAATAAAATCTTCCTACCTATCTCTGACTCATTTCCTTCAAAATGTAACGTAGTCTTCACAAGCAGTTGGCCCTCAAGGCATATTTTGTTGAATAACCCCAGAAGTGACATCCCTGAGGGCTATAAAGAAAACTTCATCCCACTAAAAAAATAATAAGTACTGTTGTATGGATTATTCTGTTTCTTTGTCATCTAACTCAAAGCTAAAAATTGAGTCATTCTTCAGCAGTTCTATTGTATACTCTCCTATGGTTGGAGGATAGAGGAAATAATTTAGTCAGATCTTAAAAGGTAGAAGGCAGAAACGTGTAGAATGAGAAAATTGTATAAGGGTAGAGCTGGAAAGATCTTAGAGAACGACATTGTCCAACACTTTAGTTTTTCAGATGAATAAACTGTTGTCTAGAAAAGCTTAAGTGACTTGCCCCAAATTATGCAGTGAGTTTAAAGTAAAATTAGGGCTCAGGGTCTAGTTGCCTGTGAGGATATGGTTGTATTCGTGTTGAGGTTTATATAGTTTCACTGTTAAAAGAGCTTATAATATTCTCATATTGCCTTTACTGATTCAGCAAACAGGAAATTGAGTCTCTAAATAGATTTTAATATGTCCTTAATTTTTACAGTTTTTTTGACTGGTTCAATCACGTTAACTGGGAAGATTCTGGCACCCTTAACCTTGGATTTAACCTTGGATGGTATAGAATTGTTTGCTAACATTTAAGTAAACTTTTTATTGAAATATATATATATACACAAAGGTGTATAATAAGTATACAGCTTGATGAATTTTCACAAAATGAACACAGCTCTGTGACTTGCGCTCAGATCAGGAAACTGCAGCAGGTTTAGAAACATTTGAGGAAATAAAGATTTTGAAGCTATGTAATTTTTTTTTTTTTTTCTCCCCGCAGGTATTATCAGTCTGTGTCTTAACAACAATCCTTGGTTGTATATTTGGCTTGAAACCAAGCTGTGCCAAAGAAGGTAATTGATATACTGTGTAGTAGGTGTGTGGGAGCCCTGCTGATTCAGTGGGTAACGCATTTGACTGCTAACCAGAAGGTTAGTGGGTCGAACCCATTAGCTGCTCTGCGGAGAAAGATGTGGCTATCTGCTTCTGTAAAGATTAAAGCCTTGAAAACCTATGGGACAGTTCTACTCTGTCCTATGGAGTCACTGTGATTTAGAATCAACTCAGTGGTAATAGGTTTGGTTTGGTTTTGGCTAGGTGTATGTATGTGTGTGTGGTGTACTTATACTCAGCCTTCTTCAGAATGGGATTGAGAAAGTATCATCCAGTAATTCTGTGGGTACGCCATAGATAATACAATTTTGGTATGTTGTTATGTGCCGTTGAGTCGGACCTTGGGTTTCCGAGGCAGTATCATTACGGAAGTAGATTGCCCAACCTTCCTTCTGAGGAGTGGCTGGTGGGTTTGAACCTCTAGCCTTCTGGTTAGCAGTCAAGTGCCTTAGGCACTATGCTGCCAGAGCTTTCTTTTTCTTCCTGTAAGACACATATAACAACAACAGCTGTTGTATTGGGAGTCCTGGGTGTGCAAATGTAAACCATTAGTGTGCTTGACTGCTAACTAAAAGCTTGGAAGTCCGAGATCACCCGGAGGCACCTCGGAAAAAACGCCTGGTGATCTACTTCCGAAAAACCCTACGGGGCACAGTTCTACTCTGACACTTATGGGGATCAGCTTCACAGTAGCTGATAGCTCTTGTATTATTTTACCCATATGATATTTTATTTACTTGAAAAAACAAAGGAAAGGGACCATGACAAACCAGTTAATTAATTAAATTAAAAACAAGCAAACAGGCACACATGACGGACAGGCCCTGATGCTGTGCTCCTGGAACCCTCTGCCACTGATTCAGGGCACTCTGGGGACACTCTTTTTCCCCGAGGAGTTATTTGCAAAAGCAGACCTGGAGGTTACTAGGTGACCTGTTAGCATCCCAGGGCAACCAGAAACTTATCATTAGGGCTCATGAGGCTTTCTGAGTTGTGGACATTGGTGGTTTCAAAGCAATACTGTTATTATTAAGCTTCTAGACATTTTAAAATGTATATTGAGTCCAGAAATCTGTCCAATATTGATGAGATAATGGAAATAATCAAAGTCTGAATTACAGTGAATCTTATTGTAGCCATTCTTTTTCCTCTGAGATCATTCCTTCTGCCCTGTGAAGTAACTGATGGTTTTCCTAGGAAATTCAGTTTTGAAAATTAAAAAATTCTTTTCCTATTTAATTATTCTATAATTGTAATATTAGTCACTAAACATTTTTTGTGATTGTTATCATTTATTGCTAAAATGAATGAGATATAGTAGTTTTGTGTATTTAGTCAGAAATCTATTCAGAGCAAATGTACCTGAGTTTGATAAAATTAGGAAGTTATAAACTTTAGCGTTCACCTGTGTGATCTTTTGGCATGAAATAATTCACCTTGAGTTCAATTTGACACTTAATAAAACTGTAAGATTAAAAACATCAATTTTTAATTTAAATCTAGGGTAAATATACATAGTAACTAGTTTATAAAAATTACAAGGTACATGTTAATTGAGTTCCAAAAGATAGCTTTTATTCTAATAACTTGTTCTCCCTGGGTCAGAAAAGTTAGTATTTCTGACCCTAGAAATTCTTGTTTGTTACCTCATGTTTTTATACTTGCCTAACTTCCCAATGCCAAATGAGAGCTAAATTCTGTGGCAGTGTCTTGTTGGGTCAGGAAACTATTACTGGGAAGAACTAAAATTATTCCTTTTTTTTTTTTCCTGGTGGAATTCCATTATTTTAGATGTGGATTCTCTTTACACTAGCCTAATTTTCTAATGGCCAGGAGCTCTGGTAGCATAGTGTCTAAAGCATTTGACTGCTAACCAGAATGCTGGTGATTCAAACCCACCAGCCATTCCTTGGAAGGAAGGTTGGGCAATCTACTTCTGTAGTGATACTGCCTCAGAAACCCAAGGAGAGGTCACTATTAGTCGGATTCGACTCCCGGCAGTGAGTTGAGTTTGTTGAATTGAATTTTCTAAAAATCCAATAATAAACCTAGCTTACACAGTCTATTTAGTAAAGAGTTACAAGAATACAATTTTTGTTTTTAATGAAACTTATTTTCCTTCTGTATTTACCATTTATCCATTCAACAAAACTTATCAAGTACCAACTGTACCTCAGGTACTTTGCTGGGTATCAGGAATATGGTATGCTGGGCAAAATCCAATGAATCTTTATTTTTTTAAGAATTTTATAGTATACTATGACACTGGGCTATTAAAAAAAAATCTAATTACAAATAGAATTAAATGATGAGAAGGACAAGATTTTATAAGAGCTTGAAAGAAAAGAGACAAGGAATTAGGAGAGGCTTCTTGGAGGGAGTCAAACCCAATGTGAAGGTGAACTGAGTGTTGTAGGTGAGGTGGGGAGGGTGAGCGCCCTGGCTTGTGTTGTACACAATGCATTACTTCTTCTTGATACCAAGTTGGAGAAGGAGATAAGTCAGGTGCTCATTCCCTTTGTGAAATATTCATAGTCACTTTTTAAAATCTTTTCCCACATTTTGAAATTTTAGAAAACCCTATGGCTGCTCAAGCCAACCCTTTCAAAATGAAAAAATATTCAGAACAAGTTCTTAGTTCTTACTTTCCTTTACTATTTCATAGGTATTTAAGTCTTATCACACTTAGTACAGTTTGTAATAAAATTCTCTTTTTCCTAATGCAGGAGATAAAATCACAAATTCAGTATGTAAGATTACTTTCTGGTGTGTCACTTTCTGTGTGTTTTGGTGGAAAGATTCTTGGTTCACTTCATTACCCCATCTGTGTTTTCTAAAGCAGTGTTTGACCCCACTCTGTAGTAACTTAGGTGTATTAGTTGATGATTGCTTTGTTATAATGATTGGAAACATCTAACTCACTGCTCAATATTTTCAGTTAAAAGCTGCAAAGGTCGCTGTTTTGAGAGAACGTTTGGGAACTGTCGCTGTGATGTTGCCTGTGTTGGCCTTGGAAATTGCTGTCTAGATTACCAGGAAACATGCATAGAGCCAGGTAATAACATTTAGGGAAACAGATGGAGTCATGGCCATTAGTAAAAGATTAAAGGAATATTCTGCAACTTTTAGGCATGTGATTTATCTAATTCTTTTGAGTTTTTTTTTTTTTAATTTCTATATATACATATTTTGACCATAGTCTTTATATTTTAAACAGTTACTTACAGAAGAAATATCAGATCTTTTCCTTCATTAAACTTTTTGTAGATAGTGGAACTGTACCACTTTTTCGTATACACTGAAAGTCTTGATACTATAATTTGTATTTGAACCAATGAATGAATTTATTAGTCTTTTTATACCGATTATGGAGGTCCTGGGTGGTAGCAGTAGTCAACGCGTTGGCTGCTAACAGAAAGGTTGGTGGCTCTGGTCCACCCAGAGGGGCTTCAAAAGAAAGGTCTAGCAATCTGCTTCTGAAAAGCCAGCCATTGCAAACCTTGTGGGGCACAGTGCTACTCTGATACAGAAGGGTCACTGTGAGTCACAATCAACTTGACGGCAGCTAGTGAAACTGGTTATACTGATCATAGGCAAGAGTTCTTAGTTATCCGCATAAACTTTAAAACAAAACGGTGAGAGTCAGAAAATTTTCTGTTTGTCCTGGACTTTTCTGCATATGACCTGGAATAGTGTTTAAATGTGAATGAGTCAGATTGAGATTAAATGTCCAGAACCCTGAAAAGGGCCAAAGAAGGAAGCCAAGACCTACATACAAGTCACATAGCAATAATGACGTGTGTCCAAACTTTTAAATGATGACATTCTGGTGAAGTAATAACAATTGGTACCTGCACAGTCCGTATCTGTTAGTTTCAATTTGACCTCTCGGTGATAGACTGTGGGAGTAACTAAGATTTATGATGTCGTTCATTGTCTGTCATAGCTCATGCTCCTGAAGACAGCAATTTTGTGCTAAATTGAATCACAAGATGTGTTTTTGTTGGATGCTTGTTTCTAGAACGTATATGGACATGCAACAAATTCAGGTGTGGTGAGAAGAGGTTGTCCAGAAGCCTCTGCTCCTGTTGAGATGACTGCAGGGACAAGGGCGACTGCTGCATCAACTACAGCTCTGTGTGCCGAGGTCAGGTTTCCATGGCTTATCAGGCTCGATGGCCACCTGGTGTCTTCCTGGGTTTTGGAATAAATCTGTTGTTTTATATTTGGACTCATATTTATTATATTTGTCAAGAAATATTTTTAAAACCATTTTATTAAAGAAAATTTCAAACACAGACATGAGTAGAGTGACTGGTATAATGAACCTTGTACCCATCACCCAACCTAAAATTATCTACACATGGCCAATATTGTTTTTTCTGCTATGGTGATTCACTCTCCCTGCCACCCCTATTGTACTTTGCTGTTAGCTGCATATTTGATGCTGTATTTGTGGTAAGATCACTTTTCCGGTCCTGGCTGACTTCTATGTCTTAGATTCCCTTATAGTAAATGAGGACCATGTGTGCCATGTGCTGAGAGAGTGGACATGAAATTGCTTCAGAGATTGTGGAATATTATATAAAGGGGTGTTATGATGTTGCCTTGTCCAGGTATACAGGGTTCTGTGAAATTTTTTGACAGAATTTGGCTATTTATGAGAGGAAATTAAAGCATCAAGGATTTAATGCTAAAGGATGTTGCTGGTTAGATAGGAGGAGGGTTCTAAATTTTGGTTGAAAA